CGGAGCTCCTTGCTTTTTCATCTTCAGTGCCGGACCTATACCTTGCTCCCAGTATCTCCTCTGCAAGCACCCCGAGAAGAAGTATAGGGCTCCGGCCTGTACCTTGCTGCCGGACCTGTATATATGAATTTTTTTTCATAAAATATTTTGTTTACGAAATCTTGAAACTATAATCCCTTTTGCATAAATTGCAATTGCTAGCTATCTTGGGCTGCGCCAACAAAGAATTACTTTTTGTTTGCCCGCAGCAACCAATAGATATACTTTTTGTTGCGTACTCTTGAAAAAAAAACTATCATGGTCACAGATCACGCATTCAGTCATGATCTCGAGTAGCTGCAGCCAAGCAGAGTGTTAAGGAATTACTCTCTCCTTAAAAAAGTATATGAGCGTTTTAGATCAAGTGACCTAAACACTCTTATATTTTTCTAGAGAGGGAGTACAAGGCAAGATTAAGACAATCTGATTGAGGACTGATTAAGATGCTGGAAATGTTTGGGATACACATTTACTTTTTCAAATACTGGACTTTGAACAATATAACCATGATAAAATTCAGTGAATGTTTTTTTCTTTGCGGGGGCAGTGAATGTTTAGCATGATACAACCGTACTTCAAGAGAAATGAACGACGCGTTAGAAGTGAAAATTTCTTGCACAGACACGACGTAGCGTTCATGGCAGATTGCTTGACAAAATTCTGTTCCCTGAACATGCTTCTGCATGCACATGCAAAGAGCAAGGCCCGTGATACAGGCCTGTGGAGGTTTGTTGGATATGCCTTTCGCTCGAGAAATCATCAGGCGCCGCTAGCTATCTTCGGGCTGCAAGAACTGATGAAGCTCACTATTCAGTGAAAACATCACCCGCTCCAACTATAAGATGGAGAGAGCTGCTCCAAATGAAACCAGAGCGTGTGCGAGAAAACTGTCAATTTATTTCGAGTTATCTCTCTGTCCTGCCAGAGGCAATACGTTCCAAATTTTGCGTTTGGTGAAAGGTCAATGAGTTTTGTTCAATCTGCAAAAACTAAAACACCTCACCTCTGCAGCACCTCGACAGTTCTGTCATTTGTAGCCCGGCCTATCTGATGCTCTCCATGACACAGGCTCAATCTGCAAAAAAAGCAGCAAGCTGTAAAAACAGAGGGTTGTACAACTGACATAACATACTCCCTCCGTTCCTAAATATTTGTCTTTCTAGAGATTTCAACAAGTAAGTACATACGGAGCAAAATGAGTGAATCTACGGAAATGGACTAGGAGCACTCGGCGACGCTGCTCTCCGAAATCTGCACGTCCATTATTGTCACGGGATGGATGTACTTAATGCAGTCTAGTTTTGTTTCTAACTAATACCAGAAGTATACAACGTAGGAAGAATGAATCACATTTATTTCGGCCCCACAACTCTGACATGGGTTCATGGCACATGCGAGGAGGCTCAGGCTAAGATGGGGTGGAGTAAGTTCGCGGCAATTAAGTGGGAACAGGTAGAGGAATGACGACCATGCACAAAGCACAGGTCAAGGACGACGGCCAAAAGCATGAAGCCCATGACCTCCATCAGGAGCGCGGCGTAGGAAGCGGCCAGCTTCATGCTTGGATACAGTACCGTTGGCTGCAGGAATGAAGGCCATGGTGCCGCCGGCATGGGAAGACGCGGTGTCAAAACCGCTGTCGCACAGGTCACGATAAGCTAGAACAGCGACTGTGTCAACTTTCTCGTCATCAACATCATAATCTTGCACTGGCTTTCTTCTCACACATTTCTTGCTGGTCGCAAGACGCAAGACTTAGCGGCTAGGGCAGACGGCGTGTCGTTGGCCGTGTCCACACATGGTGCGCGGCAAGCTCGGGCGGCTACCTCGTTCGCCCTCAGCGTTGTTCCCCGTCAGCGGCATAGTGTTCCTTGTTCATCCTGGCCTTTTCCCACGTCCACGTTGTTGAAGGAGGTGACCTGGAGCAAAAAGAGAAGAGGGAAAAGTAGAGAGAGGAAGAAGAACATGAGCAGTGTCACTTGTGGTGGAGAAGAAAGAGCGTCCAAGGGAAGATGGCTTCATGAAAGGAGGGAGGGGTGTGGGCACATTGATTACGTTGTTGGGCGCTGCTGGTTGAGGTCTGTGCTCACTGACAACGTCATTGCGAAAAGAACATTCAATACAAGCCTATATTATATGAGATGCATGGTTCAAAATCTCCTAATACAGACTATCTAATATAGAAGTGTGAATCCGAGGTAAACGAATGGGGCAGATTTCAGTGGGTGTGGTCGCCATGTGCTCCAATGCAATTTCGGTGAATCTACATTCTAAAATGTGTCTATATACATCCGTATGTGGTAGTCCATTTGAAATCCTAAAAAGACAAATATTTAGGAACGGAGGAAGTAGTTCGTAGGAACTTCTTTTTGGAGATCACATAATAAATAAAGTGCTAAGAGTAGATGGTGAGGCAATATAGACGAGATGGATACATACATATAATAAGAAAGATCTAGAGGGATCCTTAGAGTATCCATAATCCTAAAATAACAGACAAACGAAGGACAGTCCTGAGACATGATAATCTGTAACCACTACCCCTTCTATCGACACACATGCATTATTCTCAGGCCATATAGTCCAGTTCAGCTCACATGCAAAGGCCTTCCACTTATTAATCACCATGGCGCCATCTCCGGTCACTGCTCAGCTTCTTGCACGCCTTTGCCTCGCATATCAAATTTAGCATGTCTTCGGTACGTAATACAGAAACAAAAGGCTGATGCATACACAACCTCGTAGCACGGCCCTAAAATATAACCACTACTTTAGGCTTCCTTGTGAAATGGACTGCTGAAAAAGGCCAAACTTGTTTACAAGATGTAGCACTCCATAAGTAAATAGTTTATAGTGGTATAATGCAGCAACACCCAAGGTGAAATGTGTCACAGGAAAAGTTATTTGTTCCGGTGAGAATTTCACCGCAACAGTGCAGAACTGTGGTTCCCAGAATGCTAGCATTTGACTAGAGTATTGGCCCTAATATGCTTCCACCATATGTTACACTCGCGTGTTCTCGGTGCTGTGTATCTATACTAGCTATAATGTGTTCAACACCTCAGCAGATTCTTCCCAAATCCGTTGAGCCGAACGTCAAGGATCCCAAATCTGTCCTTGAGATGAATGGTGTTAGCCTTAATCTTGATTTCATGTATTAGCATGTTTGAGTTTTGCATGTAGTTTAGTCTAGGATATCATGTGTCCGGTGAATCTTCAGCTTTGGGCGCGAAGGAGGTGAGATGTCGGGCTGCCGTGCGATGCGGTGAGGGCGATGAGATGCTGATGGTGCCGTGCGATACGGCGATGCCGTGAGAAGCGGCAAGGCGCGATGGAGACTTAAGCTGCCAGGCTATAGTACTGCATGATCAAGTTGAAACCAAGTATGTAGGAGGTTGAAGCCTGGCCGGCTAGACATTTAGCTGGAGTCGAGATATTTGGGTTAATTAGTTACTGCATGCATGGTTGGGTCGTGTGGCAGTTGAGAATATGCTGCCCGCCCGCTGGTCATGGGGGTGCATGCTGGAGTTTGTTAGCGCTAGTGAGTAGTGGCCGATTGGCCTGGCCGTCCGCTTCGTGGAGTGACTCCAGGACGTGGCCGTTGTGGCATGAGTGCATGGGTCCTTGTGTATATATGTTGCACTGAGTAAATGAAAAGAGGCCGTGAGGGCTAGAGCAGAAACATGTAGCCACTGTATTCACCAAGGACGGAGCCTCTCGGCAAAGCTAGCGGATGGTCTGTTCCTTGGTGCATGTGTGTGTGTGTAGTGTGCGTTCAGGTGTTCTTGAGAGAAACCACGAGAGGAAGAGTAGTCAGAGGCAGAAGAAGAAGAGCGGCGCTGCGAGGAGGCGGCGCCAACAATTGGCATCAGAGCCTCGTCGATCCGGCGGCTGCGGCGGCAGCGTGGTGGACTCCATGTGAGGTGGAGGACACCGGCGCGAGGTGATGGCCGGAGGCGTGCGATCCCGCTGGTGGCCGGTTGCGGTGCGATGCCGCAAGATGATGGTGGTGTGGTGGTCGGAGTCGCGAGGACGTCCCACGACAAGATGGTCCAAGGTGGCCGGCGCTGCGAGGGCGTCGGCTGTGGTGCGATGGAGGCCATGCGAGAAGGAGGCCGACGACGCGAGAAGGAGGATGGTGGCCATGCGGTGCCACTAGGTGGAGATGGTAGCGCGAAGCTGCTGCAAGAAGACGACGGTGCGATGCCGTTGAGACGAGACGATGGTGGTGCGATGCCATCATCTCACGGAGAGTCGGTGTGATGCCAACGGCGGTGGTGCGATGCCATCGCCATCATGAAGAGTTGGTGTGAAGCCAACAAAAGCTGCAGCGTGATGTTGTGGCAAGACCGCGTGGTGATCGGCGTTGCGACAGCGTCGTCCATGTCAAGAGGTGGCCGCCGCGTGCGGCAAGAGTACATGGTGATGGACGTCGGCGCTGCGATGGCGTCGGTCCACGGCAAGGTGTGCAGCGCCGTGATGGCGTCGTCAAGTGCCTGCGGGTGATCCGCATTGAAGATTGGAGAATCAAGATTAGGGGGGTGAATGTTAGCCTTAATCTTGATTTCATGTATTAGCATGTTTGAGTTTTGCATGTAGTTTAGTCTAGGATATCATGTGTCCGGTGAATCTTCAGCTTTGGGCGCGAAGGAGGTGAGATGTCGGGCTGCCGTGCGATGCGGTGAGGGCGATGAGATGCTGATGGTGCCGTGCGATACGGCGATGCCGTGAGAAGCGGCAAGGCGCGATGGAGACTTAAGCTGCCAGGCTATAGTACTGCATGATCAAGTTGAAACCAAGTATGTAGGAGGTTGAAGCCTGGCCGGCTAGACATTTAGCTGGAGTCGAGATATTTGGGTTAATTAGTTACTGCATGCATGGTTGGGTCGTGTGGCAGTTGAGAATATGCTGCCCGCCCGCTGGTCATGGGGGTGCATGCTGGAGTTTGTTAGCGCTAGTGAGTAGTGGCCGATTGGCCTGGCCGTCCGCTTCGTGGAGTGACTCCAGGACGTGGCCGTTGTGGCATGAGTGCATGGGTCCTTGTGTATATATGTTGCACTGAGTAAATGAAAAGAGGCCGTGAGGGCTAGAGCAGAAACATGTAGCCACTGTATTCACCAAGGACGGAGCCTCTCGGCAAAGCTAGCGATGGTCTGTTCCTTGGTGCATGTGTGTGTGTGTAGTGTGCGTTCAGGTGTTCTTGAGAGAAACCACGAGAGGAAGAGTAGTCAGAGGCAGAAGAAGAAGAGCGGCGCTGCGAGGAGGCGGCGCCAACAAATGGTATCACTGACATGGCATATCTCATTTCGGTTCAAGTCAAAATATATCCACCCTACTAAACCCTACGCTGTCTATCTGTGTGATATGATGATACAACCCCCCTTCCACCAAGAAAAAGTTGCATTAATCCGGTGATGTAATTAGCATGCACTGAAAGTGGCATATCGTAAGGCAGCGAAAAAATGGAAACAGTTACCTGGACCAACTTTGAAATGTTTGGAGACCCGACTTGAATCGTAGCCAGTGGATAAGGCAATAGACCTCTTGGGGCTAAACTCGGCCACTCTCTGGACAGCCTTGTTCTTCATGTCAACAGCAAGAACCCATGCTGTGTGATCCCTGTCGCGGTAGTCAATCTTGGCTAGGAGGTAAAGGATGCAATCATCTTGCAGGCTGCGCTTGGGCAGGCCAATGTCGAGAGTCGACAAGGTTGGCTGAGCTGTGACACCTTCACGGAGGACCTTCAGCTTAGGCAGTGATGACTCGGGTATATCCGAGGAATCAAGCTCGCGATGGATGCGCCAAGCCTTTTTGGAGAAGACACCGGTCTTGATGCTCCATATTGTGGCCTTCCAACCATAGTCGCGGTGCTGCAGCTCAACAAACCTGATGTGGCCATTAAGGAATGAAACGTCCCGAACAGCCGGCGTGCCGCTTCCATACTGCGGCTCGGTCGGTAGTCTTAAGAACCGGAGCTTAGGGCTTTCGTCCAGCACGTTGCAGGAGGTGATCATATGCGAGAGGTCGACCCAGGCCACCAGGCCTGAATCCCCTCCGATGGCGATTGCCTTGTATGTGGTGAGCACGTAGGGGACTGAATCGACGTTCACCAGCAGTTTGCTCCAGGAGTCGGTGCCAGGATGATACAGGCAGAGGTGACAAGGATTGCCGTACACAAACTGATCAGCTTGTGCGGCGAGCAGGTAGGTGCAGTCAGGTTCAGGTTTGCGCACAATGGCAAATGAATGCTCGTTCACCGGGTGCTCGTCGCCGGGTTGCTTGATGTGCTTGAGCTCGGGGACGCTGGCGTTGTAGACGAAGTAGTGTGGTTTGTCGCGAAGCCAATCATAGGATGAGCGGCCACGAACTACGACGGATAGAAGGACGAGGCCGCCGTCAGTCTCCGTGGCGACTAGGCGGGCAGGCGAACACGGTGTGGTCGTAGTCGGTGGCATGCACGCAGAGGTAGGAGACTTGCGGCGGCTGGGCGGTGCAGAAGGTGACCTTGATTTGCCCCCGGAGACGGAGACCCTCCAGGCTGCAGTTGGCGGTGGTGGCGTTGAGGCGGTCGGCGAAGTAGGCGTATGGCTCGATGAGGACGAAGCTTGGCTGGTCGCCGCCGCCGTCGGGGTAGCCGTGAGCGGGGGGGGGTTCAGGGATGGGGAATCCTTTGGGATTGGGGGCCTGCGTAAAATCAATAACTTACCCACTACTCCGGATGGCTTCTTGGCGGCGTCCTCCTCGCAGTCGCCGTGGTAAGCAGCAGCAAGAACAGCTAGGTCGCTGTTCATGTATTCCAGATCGACTGCCATCAAGCTCTTTCTCTCCGGTGCGTGGATCGATCCCAGATCGATCGGTAGCTCGGCCCTCCTCTCCGCCTTGGGTGTGTGGATAGATTTTTGTGGGGAGGGGGAGGTTGGGGGCGATCAGGGTCGGAGATCGAGTGGTCCAAGTGATGGGAGGATTGCGGCCGGCCGGTGTTGCCTGCGGTGGCGGATTAGGCGGCGGAGCGTGCAGCGCGATGACGAACTGGTCGAGTGGCGTGCTCGCGTGGGCTCGACGGCGACGTGCGTATAATCATCGGCCTGGTGGATTAGGCCCACTCTCTGCTTAGGGCCATTTTTATTTAATATAATCAGCCCAGTCCAGTAATAATCATCGGCCTTTTGTCACTAGCTGAACCTTATTTTTGTCTAAAAAAAAGCTGAATCTTATTGGGTTGTAAAAAAGGACAGTGGCGTTTTGGTGCCCGGGTGCATCTACACCTAGGTATGAACAGTAATTTCATAAAAAATAGTAAAAATATTTTTAAAAAATCTGATTGTTTTTGTCATCAAAGATGCCTGAGTGCGCTATGTGCATGCGAAAAATCATGGTGAAATGACGTTTGAGAAGCTTTCAACAACAAAAAAAGAATTCAGGTGTAAAAGAAACTTTGAAAAAGAGCACTGTC